GATTCGCTTGAGCCCAGGAGTTGGAGATTGCAGTGAGCTGTGATGCCACAGCACTCTACCCAGGGCAACAGCTTGAGGCTCTGTCTCAAAAAAAAGAAAAGAAATCCAAAATCCAAAATGCTTCAATGAGTGAGCATGACCTTTACGCATCATATTAACACTCCAGACTTTGGAGCATTTTGGATTTTCGATTTTTGGATTAGGGATGCTCAATTTGTACACATTTATTATAGACTCCTAGGAAAATACAGAAAAGCACGGATGGGGCAACAACAAATAATCATCCAAGGTGCCGCTGTTCAGTTGACACTTCAGGATATATTTTTCAGGTTTTTCCTATGAACCCACAGTCACATACTATTTTTTTAATTGTGATCCTACTATTCAGAGTTTGACTTTTCTTTGCCCACTTAATAAATCATAAATCATGCCATCAAGTGGTCTCTTATAACACTGTTCCTCATGGCAACACTATATCCCACCAAATGAATGAGCTGTCACTTATTTGGGGCATCTGGAGCACTGCCTCTGTGTTCAGGTGCTTTGGTGTGTGGGTGCCCACTGAGTACTCATTGGATGTCAGGGCACAGAGCCTATCTTCAGGAATTGCAATCTTCCATTTCTTCCTCTCCTACTCAAAGAAATGCATGTGATTTTGAAATACTGAACACAAAAATCTCAGGACCAAAATGCATATATTCTTGTTCAGTCACTGATCAAGAAATGGTTCTTACCACCAGTGGCTCTTGAGAATGGCTTTCTTGCTGTGGTGGATGAGACCGCTCCAGCAACCTGTTTTGCTGCTTGAGTAGCTGATCGAGTCATTCTTATGGGCACTACAGGCTGCACAACTGTGAAAGCAGGTAATCAAATCAAATGTTCTTTGCAATTTTTAAACTATTGCAGTGGTAACATCAGAGTTTATGATAACTTACTAATATGCCTACCTTTTTCCTCTCTGTCCAACACTTTCTTTTCAGAAGTTTGTCTTTGACCAGGTCGTACTGCTCGAACATCACTCCCATTATTAATCTATTAAAGAGAGTAGGTGCTTTGTGACTTAACCGTGTGAAGAATCAAACCATCACATTTTTAATCTGTAAACTAACCTCTCATCTGAAATCTGACAATTATAAATGACTCAACAAAAACTTTATTTCCAGCTCAGTATCTGTGGCTCAAGTGGCTAAGGTGCCA